ATCCTGGGCATGACGTGCTGTGGTATGGAATACCCCTTTGGTTAGTTTGGGTCAGGTGTCCTGTCTCTGCTTCCTCCCGGCTTCCCCTCCTCCCTGGCAGACTATGAGGCTCAGAAAGCCCTTGTTCAGACTAAACATTTGAGCAGCAACTAAAACCATCGGTGTTATCAGCGCTGTTCCTAGGCTGAAAGTCAAAACCACAGCACTGCACCAGCTACTAAGAAGGAGAAAAATGACTGCTACTGCTGAACCCAGGACAACAACTTACATATTCAGGAACCTGCACCTAGTTCATACCATCAAGGGAAGAAATTTGCCAACTCAAGAGGAGTAATGTGTCAGGAGCAGTGATAGCGCTTTGTCATTCATGGGCCCAGGTTTAAATGTCTTCTTCCAGAAAAAAATGCCCTGCAAGCTAAAGGACATTTTTAACCAAAGGAAAGTTTTGGCAAAAGTGAGATACTCGGTATGAAGTATTTTGCACTCTTTTGTTTCTGCAGAAGTTTATAGATGAATGAGGAAATAATGATAGGGTAAGATACGTTACCTAAGTGTAGACTGGTGCAAATGTTTCTGAGCCTTATCTGCTGTTTCCCTCCATCCTTGTTATCTTACAAGACATGGTGGTCCACAGTGAGTTTGCCTGTATCCTTGGCCACTAGACAAAGTGACTTTTATTTACTTTAAAACCTGTGGTGTTGTTGTGCCAGCATTGTCAGTGACTCAGGCAGTGATTAAACACAGAAGTATTTTTCCTTACATTTATGAAACATAAAGATATTTGTTTTGATTCAATCACTGTCACCTCATTAGGCACCAGGAAAGTTAGGTTATACATTGAATCAGTTTTGCACTTGGTTTTGTTTACTTTTCATAAATTAACATGGTAATTCACTGTAATAAAATTCTTCGTTTACACAAAGATATCAAAAGGCATCGTCCATTATTCTCCTTAATGTTACAGCTTTAGAATGTGCAAAGAAAAGCTCTGTTTATATTGCAGCTGGATGGAGCACTTAGCACAGAGCGTCATATCCCAGATACGCTCTGCTTTAAGGAGCAGGAGAGAAATCCCAAATAATGAAAAAGCCCCAAACCCACCCACTCCATTAAAATGTCTCCCGTCTTACTGAATTACCCATCCTAAACTCTGCTTCCTTCAATTTACATTCCTTTATCTTGGTCTAGCAAGTAGCAATGAGGTACATGCCCATAGGCAAGAGAAGGCTCGGTCCTACTAGCTGCAGAGCACAAAAGGGCTGTCCACAGTCATTAGAGCAAGAACCATATCCAGTGAAGGCGGCACAAAATTTGGACAGACAGTGCACTATTATCATTGGCAAACAACTGATCCTTTACAGTTGCAAAGCATGAAATGACCCCCAGTCCCTCTGTGCCTTAGCAGGTTATGGATTCTGGGGGCCTTTCCCTAGTGATCCAAAGCACTAGAATTCCCTGAAGAGAAAATGGTTTGTACTGCCTCTAATTTCTGATGTTGGTTGGTGTTTTCCATCATGTTATTTCATTCTGCTCTGTAACTGGTACTGGAGTTGCAGGCTAGAGAAGAAATGATGCATCTTACTCACTTCCCACATGTGGAAGTCAGGTATTGAGAGCAAAACAAAGCTTAGCTGGAACTTCTGTTTCTTCTTTTCTCTCTCTTTCCTCTTTTAGGACTGTTTATGTTTGCAGAAGCTGCAGGGGAACTGGAAGTGTACTAGCTGATCTAGAAAGGCACAAACCCCCCACAAATATCTGCTTTATTTGTGTCTCCTCTGAACATTTTTTTTTTTTTGAGGGGAAAAAAACCCAATGCAGTCAGAGAAAGGGAAGGATCTCATGGGTTAAAAATTCACTGTTGTGCTTCACATCAGATAACATTCTGGCCTGTACTTGCACCAGTCTCAGCTAATATCATTGAATGGAGAACACACAGCGGATAAGATTTGTCTATGCTTTGCCACAGCATACAACTAAAACACCCACAAGAAGATACATTCTTCTGTGCTGTGAGCCCATCATGATTTTTAAATATTCCTTACTGGTCATAAAAAAAGGCTTTCAGCACTGACACTTTAAAAACCAGGAGGAAGGGTATTTTAAAAGCCCACTTTTTTGGACAGGTCAGAAAATCCTTGCATAAGTTTTACAAGCATGTATGGGATATATATAACAGTATACATATATATACAACAGGAATACGTTAAAAATCTTGCAGGTTTAATTTGGGGAATTAAAGAATAAACTTTATGGCATTTAGAAATAGGCTAATAATTAAACCTTTCATCTAAAAGATATGAAAATCCTTTCTCTTGCATATTGATGGATGACACGCAAAGTTAGTAATTTTTACTAAATTTAACATTATCACCCATTCAAGATAAGGGGCAACAAATTAACAAGGTTCCAGACATTCAGAATGATTTATCACATCATTTCCAACATCTGTTTTGTGGAACACTGGTGGTTGTGCTCCCTAAAAGTGTTGACTGCCATCAGTTACTTGTTGATGGCCTTCACCCAACTCACAGAATTACGGTGGGTGTAATTCAGGATGGATCTGAGCCACAGAGTACATAGAAGTGGACACAAGTAGCTGTGGTGGACTGACTGAACTCCTGCAGTGGAGGGTATCAACCATTACTGCAGGCAAGTGCTTGAACTGAGTAGGGGAAGAGTAGTCGCTACAAACAGATCTGAGATCTTCAGCCAAGTCAGAGAAAACAGAGCAAGAAGTATTGGGATATTAGGGAGCAATCATAACCAGGGAAGGCTCTCAGCACAGGAAGGGGTTAGTGTTTTGGCAACCTCTCCTTGTGGAAGGAACCTCCCCACCCCACGGGTCATGTCCGCAGGCAGGGCAGAGGCACATAAGCAAGTGGCTAGGGCTGTGCTCCTGCACCCAATGGTCCCTCACTGCTCTCCCACTTCCTGAGAGACTCCTCTTGCCATGAGGGCTTCTTGTTGGACTTCATCCCAAATCCACAGTTTATGGAAAGATTTCTGCTAAGGTCAACTGGTTTGGTTTGAGTTACTGCATGGAGGCACTCTCGAATTTCATGAGTTCAGAGCGGGCTCCTGAACCTCCATCAGATGTCAAGAGAGGTGAGAGGGACGGCAAGAGGCTTGGCAATACCTGTGAAGGGCCGGAGTTGCTTGAACTGATTTTCTACATTCCCCCTTCCGCATTTTAGGGATTTTTATGGAAAACACATTTGTAATGTATTCGATTGCATGTATGCAGTGGAGAATTAGATTGGCATAAAGGTAAACAACTGGCAAATTATTCATAACTCAAAATCTGCCCAATGTCTTTTTGTTCCAAAACTTTAGAAATCAGAGACTGTGGACCAGATGTTATAAAAGAAATTACTAATTTAACTGCTAAACTGCTAAAAGGCTCACTCTAGTAATATTTTCCTGCAGAAAATGTCTGTGTCTTGTTAAAAATTTATTGAATACTGTAATTATATTACATTTGCTGTTAAACGATATTGACATTTTTGAATAAAAAGGGGTTTTTTTTGTTGGGTTTTTTTTTTTTTTTTTTTAAATCCAGGCAGGATCTATAATGTGAACATCTGGTTGCAACCTAATGTGTGGCATTGAAACAAAAAAAACCTCCTCACCCTCAAAGAAAAAAGCTTTCTGCCAATGTTTTTCTCTGTGTATTATTTTTTCAAAGTAGCTCCGACTTTTGTAGCACCAGCTATGATTAACTACCAGGACTTTTTCACTATCAGCAAATACTTAAAGGCAAGTAACCAGCAAAGTTTCAGCAAGTTGATGGCTAGTGAAATAAGGATCTATTTAGCGATGAAACAGCTGTTTTCTTGAGCAATGACCCAGCTGTTTGGCTTCAAGAATACCTGTTAGAGTTATTAATCATATTAAAAAACTTTGACCCTGGAAGGTATGAAACAGACACTTTAAGATGTGGGGATTTTTAATAAAAGGTGACTTTGTCACTTTAAGAAGTGTAAGGGGAAAAAAGGGGTCAGGGGAAGGGTTGGGATTCTTTTAGATGTATATAGATATTTAAATAGATGCACTTAATATTGCTGCCAGCTACCAATCAAGTTTCTTTTTCTTATTTAGCAGACTATGCTCTTGTAAAACACTTGCAAAATGTTTTGTACCACAGTGTTTTCCATGTCCATTTGCTCCCTAAATCTTTCTGCTGAATTACTGAGAAGGGTTTAGATGTGATATTGGTTAACTGCACCACTCAGCGTACATTTATTTTTTCCCATTTCCTATTGGGTAATGGAAGACAGAAATTTGGCTCACTTCGGCCTTGGGACCTATCCATAACTCAAAGAATGTGATTTCTACTGGAGGCTAGAGTAAGGAATACGTATAAAATTCTACCATCTAGCTGGAATGTTAAAGACAGACTTTCTTTCATAGGGTTTGCCTGTCACACAGTAGATTTAATCAAGAGAACCAGTCAATTATGGTATGCTTGCGCTGAACAGATGTGAGACACAACTCCAGTATTTAAATTGCAACTTGTGATTTTCATAAAGGTGTTGCTGGCTAGGAACATCTTCAAAAGCAAAAGTTTCCTTGTACATAGACAGGACCCAATCCTGGCTGCCATATATGCATAAAAAGTAATTCTAGTGGCTCCATTGTTATTCCAGGTGGTCCTATGCTGCGCAGCTGGAAGCACCACAAGACAGACCTATATATGTACAAAACACATGCTCTTTGGACAATGCATTAATTCACTAAAAAGTGGACAGATAAATTTCTTTTGGCTAGGTTTATGGGGATTTTCTAACTTAGGGTATTTGAATATTCTTTTGCTTAATGTCTCTTCAAAGAATAAGTAAATAGAATAAAACTCTGATATTTTAAACATGTCGGACCTGAGCTCCTTTCTTCATTTGTAACTGAACATAGAAGTGGTTTTTATGCAGAACACAATATTTTGACCTGTCAAAATGAAATGTTTCATTTAATGGAAGCTGAACCAGAGATTAAAGACAATCTAGTTAAGTTAGTATTTTTTATTTACATCATCAATTTTTATAAAACCATCCATAGGGACAGAAATTCATCTGTCAACAATGAAAATAGCACATACTTCCATCAAAGAATTAATTCATGCATTGAAGGCTACATGGACTATCATAGCTAAAATCTGCTCCCAGTTATCGTGGTTTACATTTTTTGTATTAGAGTAATCTGCCTGTTGTACTGCAGAATGACTCAAGGGTCTGGCACCGTTCCCTCCCAGCCCCACGTGATATGGGATGAACGTGCACATTTTTGCCCTGGGGCTGGACATGCATCTCTTGCCTCACTGGATACAAGCTTAACTTTCTCCTTGCAGTCCTGAGACATCTCCACACTTGAGAAGGTTTTGGGAAGGAGGCAATTAGGAGAGCATTTTGTGAGCCCTTTTTTGGCCACTACCACCATTAACCTGTTAATGACTTTGTAAATCTAGCAGTTATATCACTTCAGCAGCTAAGCATATGATAAAAATGTTCTTGCACTCAGTAAATATTACGCCAAGGTATCATGTCCACACACACACAAATAGCTCACAGTAAGACAAATCAGCACTAAGATAATTTTATAGATCAATGGAATCATTCTTAACTTGCAGAAGGTATTTGTGTTTTCAAATTCTCCCTTTTCCCAGAACAACAACATGACCTAGCTTCCACTTGTATTTTCACTACAAAGGTTTTTTCCATCTCAAAGAGAAGACAAAGCTTGCATTGCAGGCACTGCAAAGGCCCACACTGATTTCAGGCATGTGGGTGTCTAAAGTTTAAACCTGGTCTTTATGCTCAGGATGCCAAAGAGTCTTAGTTTATCCTGTAGTGATTTATACACACTGGTATTATAATACCTCACGTAAAGCTAACATAAATGAGTCAAGGAAAAGGGTGTTATAGAAAAGTGAGGACCAAAACTTGTCTCCATCACACACTGTGTTGCTCCACATCCCCTTTCAGGGTTATATGGGTTCATCTTAGGCTGCATACACTGCAGAGAAGGGAAGAGGCAGAAGATACACTTTTGCAGCAGGCACCTGCCCTGGCAGGCTCAGTGTGAGTCTCCTGCTGGCTTCTAGAATGCATATCAGCTACAGGAATAGCAGAACTGGTCTCAAGGTACCACCGATAGCATCAGGTCTGACATATTGATTGCTTGTCTACTTTTTTCTCATTAGAGGAAAATTAAATGCTGGATAACTGTGTTTCTGTGGCTGTAAACAGGATATGGGAACATAAGTGTCTTGGAAAGATGCCCTCCCTTTCTCTGCAGGTAGATGTCCATCAGCAATATCAGTGCTGATGGAAAATATTTTTTTCCTGGGTTGATAGTGGAATTTAAAACGTGATTTGTAAATGTGGTTGAAATTTGTTATGCTGAGGGCTTACCCAGGGAGGTTTTGGCAGGAACCTATCATTGAATCATCTTAATGATAAATAACTTCTGAGATACTGGAAAGCTTCATGGCTTATTCAATAACGTATTGAGTCCTAGAGACTCTCATCTGATGCCTCCAGCAGGGCAAGAGAAAGGTGTGAAGTGGCAGGTCTGAAGTGCAAGAGCAGGGTGCTCAGCAGTAGTATGTGAAGCAGACCACATCACATTGCTACCTCAGGTTTCTATCCTCTGAATACCACCATTGTCTGAAATATTGAATTGAACTGAAAATAGCCTGTGAGTTACTGGGATAGAGGGAAGAAGGAGGTCTGACCAGACAGATAGCTCATTTCAGAAGATACATTTCTTTAGGATCACTAAAAATGTTGCTCTAATTTTAATGGCATACAACAAACGTACGTAAATATAGCTTATACAGTTCCATAAATTCTTGATGGATTTTTAAATGTATAGCGAAAGATCCTATGGAAATTATATTCATATAAATTTTATTCTAATTGTGTTATATTATGAGAAGTATTATTAAAAATTAATAATTATTGTATATATGTTTGTATCACAGTATCACAGTATGTTAGAGATTGGAAGGGACCTCAAAAGATCATCTAGTCCAATCCCCCTGCTGGAGCAGGAACACCTAGATAAGGTTACACAGGAACGTGTCCAGGCGGGTTTTGAATGTCTCCAGAGAACGAGACTCCACAACCTCCCTGGGCAGCCTGTTCCAGTGTTCCGTCACCCTCACTGAGAAGAAGTTTCTTCTCAAGTTTAAGTGGAACCTCTTGTGTTCCAGTTTGTACCCATTGCCCCTTGTCCTATCATTGTTTGCCACTGTTTGTATAATGTAAGTTAAAATTATATTCATAATATATGGATGCACCCTATAGATGTATGTGTATATTTTACAGAAAAATACAGAAAAAGCTTGCTAATATTTTCTACCTAAAAATGTTTAAAAAAACCCCACAAACAAATTTAATTCCAAGTGTAATACTGGAGAAAATTTGGTGTTTCTGAGCTCTCTTCACCACTCTGGAGCAAATGTGGATGTCCATTTATTTGCGGATATGATATGGTGTGTAAAAAAGCTCTCAAGAACTTTTTAACCAGACAAGTTGGTGCTGAGCAGCTATCCAACAAGCCAAAGAATTCAGGCATTTGCCGGTATGTGAAAGAAATTTGACAAATAGCAACTCTTTGTTGCTGGCTGGTTGAGAGCACTGTTTCTATTGCCTAGCTGGATTAGTGTGCAAGAATTCCTTGTGAAATACTTAAGAACACATCTCTGTTAATTACATTAGAATGGAAAAGGAATAGTCTGCAAACAGTGTACATTTATTTTTAAAAGACTGTACCTCAGTAGCATTTATTAAATCTCTGCCTTCTCATCTAAATTCTAACAACTTTTCATTAGTGTTCTTATTTATTTATTTACTTTTACAGAGCAAGGATACAAAGTTAGGCTTCAGGATCCAAAGCTTTGTTTTATATACAGTTACTAAGTGCAACTGAATCCAAGGAAAAATATACTAGAAAGTAGAAGGCGCCAACTGGTAGGAGGATTTTTTTTTGCTTGGATAGTTTTTATTCAAATATGGTTTTCTTCTCATGAAGAAATCAAACATGCTTGCTTGAGCAATGCCATCTGCAGGTTTTCTAAAGACAATGATTTTGTTCCTTTAGATCTCCTTTCTTCAAAGACTTAAGTCCATCCTAAATATTACATTTTTAGTTTGCTCTCATTGATTTAAACAGGACTACCTATCAGTCAAAGAGGAAAGCAGTGGGGTTGCTGTGAAAAGACCCTGTTCACCATCCTTTGCCAACAGATGCATTAGGCAGACACTGTGCCATACAAATGCATATTGAGCAGCAAGATGTCCGGCTGCCTCTTAACGTCCCATTGCTGGCATAAAAATCCTGACAAAAAAAGCCTTTTATGCACGATACTCAAAAAAGAGAAAAAAATTCCTGTCCCCTTCAGTCTCTGGGGACCGCAATCCCCAGACTTCTTCAGTACTAGGAATTGTAAACGGGGACTCCTCTTGAAGGCTACAGATGACAGACAGATTTTGTGCTCCTTCCTCCCAGGTAAGCCTGTACAAGGAAGTCAGTGAATGTAACCTTGCAGTTCATCTCTTTCCACAGTTTAGCTTCCTGAATACAGGATATTTTATTCTTTTTACCCAAAGAGTGATTTCATACTCTAAATCTTGTCTGGTTTTTCAGCTATTTTAGTTAGTCTAATAAAAGACAGTATCTCTCTCTATACACCTGGCCTTGGTTATACCCTCAGACAGTACCACTTATAAAATATAATGCATCTAAAAAAGTGACATGTCCATTTTTTCTTTGAATTTTCTTATCAAGTTGAAGTGAAATGTCAACATTTTTATAATCCATGAGTACCATGAGCAAAAGCAGGAGGTTGAAATGCTGGTGGTCTGATCTCTAATTGGTTTAAAAGGTAATAAAGATAGACTGTTTCTTTTAAGACACTGCAGTCACTTTCTTTTCTTAACTCACAGCACTAATCTCTTATAGCACTGATAGTCTGCTTCCTTGCAGAGGTCCTTATAAGGCTTTGTAGCTCAAAACCAGGTTTCTCTTTGTATCTATTTGTTCTGGAAGAATCTTTTTCATTATGTCATGTGAAGCCAAAAGATAAAGTCAATTAATCTTCTTAGCACTCTCAGCCACTACATCTGTGAGAACCAAGGATTAACTTTATTATACATTATTAACTGCATTAACATTGTAGTGTTAGAAGAAGCAAAGGATACACAATCCTTGTGGGTAAGGGAAGGACTACTGGAAGGCCAGAGAAGGCCAAGCTGTTTATCCATTTTCAGTTGTTTCATAGGTTCTGAGACAGAGGCAAGTTTGTATCTGAAATGAAATGCAGTATACAGAATAAATATAAACCAAATATGAGATCAGAAAATGCGGGTGGGAACAACTCTTTCTGCTACCAAAGCTAGTTCTGGGAGAACATCATGCTAAAAGTCCACATATAAGATGTTTAGAATAAGGATTGCTTTATCCAGCGTTTGCTGGGGAGGCAAAATGATTCTGGTCCATGATGGAAGTAATAGGAATTTCATGGGGGTTTAGAATGTTTCTTTGAGGAACAGGTCTTCATGAGAGCTGGAAGAATAGAGTTATTTGAAGGCACAAAACAAGGCCAGTAGAGGAACTAATCTCTGAAACAGTCTGTTTTGTGTGCAGCTAGTGTAAATCAAGTCTACAAGGATAAATGAGGTATCTCTGGGTCAGGGCAGGTTTATGCTGTAGCTGAAGCAGTGACAGATAATCTACAGGTAGAATTAAAAAATAAAATTAAATTAAAAAAAAAAAATCTGCAGATTGTGTTTGTCTTGGTTTGGGAGCTTCAGGAATGAACACAAAATCTCACCTAATGCTAGCCCTGCCTCCAGAGGTTCCTTCCCAACTAAATCATTCTCTGATGCTAAATATCCTTCTTATACTTGCAGTATCTTTTGCAATACTGGTGAGTTTTAAAAATTTCCAAGTTACAAACATTCTACATCATGGGGAATTGTTTTTGTTCAGCAGCTTATAGAATGTAACCTAGGCACTAGCTTCATCAAATCCTATTTTGGTATTTTATTCTGCATGGTCCCTTATTGCAGAGTGGGATTTTCAAGTTTTGCAACCAAACCAATTTGTTCCTGCAGTTTCTCACCTCCTCTTTTCTCTTGTTCCTTTTACTGCATATTGTATACACATACACAAAAATGAGTACCACTTACAATTTTTCATTACTAAGGTTATCTACACATAGAAAGCTATCCACCAGTTATGCTTTCTTTATAGAAACACAATTATAGTCTTTAGAAAGGTAATGCTAAGCCTCATTTCTTTCTTTCAGGATTTGGAAGGACATATAAATCATCACAATGGGAGTAGTAAAGACTATATTAAGCTAGTATCAACCTGATGTAAATATTTCTTTGACAGAGCCATCAGCCCTCAAACCATTACGCTCACTGCTTATGCTCTAGTATTGCCAAGGTATTTAGGCTAAAATATATGGAAAGTTACAGAAATGCCTTTCTCCTGATACTGTGATATCTTCAGGCTTTTATGTGGGAGGGTGGTCTCATGGCTACAGTATGGGGCAAGAAGACAGAGAGCTTGCTTTATTTCCAGCCCTCACCCAGATTTTCTGCAGGACTTCAAATAAGTCATTGGAGGTGGCTGGAAGTGGATTGACAGTAGAGGGTGTTGGCCAGGGTTCAGTATGCACAAACTCTGCAAGGGTAAGAAATGAGGAAGCCAAAATTTTCTCTGCCTTGGGCATCTAATCTCCTTGCCTCAAAGTAATGGCATGTACTTCACTGTTTCTAAAGATAACATTTAACTACCTCATAATATATCATTATAGTAAAGGAATGTTTTCTAGATTACACTTTCTATGTGTAATCTAGATGTGACTTTCTATGAACTTCTGTATATAACTGCATGTGCCTTTTCCTTATCTCCCCACATTCCCACTTCTCCTTCTTCTTTTCAAGTTATCCAGGAAGCTCTCAAGAATCTTTAGACCCACCACTCTAAAACGCATTACACTGTCTGGCATCAGAAATATAAAATACCAGATCCCATCAAATTAACTTTTCACCACTGATGAAATTATCTGCATTGTTATCAGAGATTTACATACTTATTGCTGTGGCTCTCATAAATATATATATGGTGGGGCTTTTTTCCTCAGTGCTTTTATAAACCTCCAGATGAGTTGAGTCCTTTGCTGAGAGATTTAATTGTTGGTATATGTTTTCCATGGGAATGATGAAAGCCAGTTAGAATTAGTGTTGAGTGAACTAGAGCAATCCAGGATTATGATGAATGGAAGTAGTGAATGATCAGTAATGGATGTAAGCAAAACATTACTGTGTTTGAAGCGCCTATAATTAGAGGGACATGATACTTTAACTGAACACTGCCATGTCAAACATGGGACAAAAAAAGTTTTTAAGTCTGAAGTCTTTAAGTCTTTAAGTACTGAAAGCTTTTGAATAAGAAATTAGTTAATCAGAAAATGGTGTGTGGTTATTACTCAGCAAGGTAACTCACCCATTGCATAGCTTTAGCAGAACAGGTCTCATTTGCATTAGGGCTGAATTTGGCAAAAAGAACTAAAACACTGGGAAATGCTCCTTCAGAGCTTGAGATGACCCTGGTCACACAAAGTCCTGCCATCCCATTGCAAAGTTGTGGTCCCAGCAGTAATCAAGTGACCCCTTTCACCTACAGCTTCTCATCTCTCTTAGGCGCCTCTCAGAAATTCCTCAGGAAACATCACCCTGTGCTCAGGTTGCTGCCTGGAAGTAACTTATTTGGCCCCATGAATCTGAATCAATAGCTCAGGGTTTTATTATGTCTTTGCCCAGAAAGCTACGGCTCACAGACTATGGGGTGGTTATGTCAAATATGTCAGGCGGCAGCTGGAAAACTTACCTCTAAGGGTAGTACTTACAGAGCTGATGATCGTACTTCAAAGGATGTGACCCATATACAGGAAATCATGGAGATAAAGAAAACCTGTTTTTCTATTAAAACTCATTTCTAGTGAAATCCAAGAGTTTCTGAGGCCTAACTCAAACCTGATTGAGAGTGAGAGTAAGTTATAATAGAACATCACTTCTGGAGGATAAACCAAGCAGGTCAAAGTAATTTGTTTTAATTAGAGGAGACAGAAAGTGGACAGAATATTGATTTTTGAAAGCAGGACATCAGGAGCGCAAATCTTTACCTCCATTACAAAGCACTATGTATAATCAGAGTACTGATGGCATACAGTGGACCTTAGGTTCACCTCAGTCCTCATTTCCTGAGGTTCTTTTGACACCACTGAAGTGTATTAAAGACAATCTTGTGTGGTTTTTCAAGAGAGAAGGGATATTACGAAATGCAGCAAGAGTGGAGAAAAATAAATGATCATCAGTTATGTCCTTTTAACACTGTGTGTGTAGAGGGGGAGTGTGAGTGTGCGCACACATGTAAGTAATCTGGATTTAACTGATTTTTAGATTAAATGCTGTCAGATGCATAAAACGAACAGAAAAAAATGTTTCTGTTCTGCGCTGCGCACAGTTGGACGAGCTTGTCTGGTGACAACAATAAGTGAAGGAAAATATTAGAAGAGGAATTCGTACTTGTGCTGCTCCTTTAGGAGAAATATCTGGTAACTGGTTGTGTTTTTTCATATAGGCTTTGTTACATGTCTTTGCCTCTCTAAAGGAAAATAGATCAGGGCCAGCACACTGTAAATATTAGCAGGTTAACGTACTGGGCCATACTTGCATACTTTATTGTAAATGTTTTTGGTACTTCTTCTAAGTCTGTGTTTACCTTGGGTATTTTCTTAGTTCACACATGTGAAATAACAGCTGGGACTTGCCAAAATATAGCAGTCAAGTGCTGTACATGTAGTAGCTTTAAAACTAACACAGGTGTCCTAGATCCCTTACCAGAATAAACAGAAGCACACGATCAAGAGTGTGTCTAACCCCTCTCTTCTGGAAATGACGTGTCTTGAAATGCTTGATCTGACAGTTGCTTTGGTCTCTCAAGAAAGATGCATCACATGGGTAAAATGCTGTTGATTTCTACAAGCAAGTACACCATTTTTTATTTAAATTTAATGATAAACGTAGTATCGTAACATGAATCTAGTGATTTCCACCATGTTCCTTTTTCAGAGAAAAAGCAAGTACATTTATAATGAGCTCAGTTCACTCCTAGGTCACACCAGGAGTGGAAGGACAAGACCTCCATCACTGGAAAGACCACCCAGAGAGGAGGAAGCTATGCTTATCCAGGAGGGAGGTAAGGCAAGAAGGTCCCAATCATTTTCCTCCAGAGCCCAAGCCATGACTACCAGCAGCCTCTCCATCAGAAGCCCAGGGGCCCTAGCCATGCAGAAGGGGCCTGTTTCTTTTCATTGTAAGTAGACCTCATTTCCTTTGTGTCGGCAAGGCTGTCTATGAACAAGAAAATACAGTCACAACAAGCCACTCAGGGCTTTTATGGTGGCTTTTTTCATTTGTTGAGGTTTTGTTTCTATGATTTTACTGCTGTTTCTGTATCTGAAAGCTAAATAAAATAGGACACAGTACAGCGGTGGCAGCTACTATACACAGATGAGGAGCTTGACAAGCATTTGCACAGTTGTAGCCAACTGGGATTGAGTAAACATTCAAGGATCCCACTGATAATGCACAGGAGGAATGGGAATTCAGGACAAAATTCAGAAAATGTTGTTCTTAGAGCAGTTTTGGCTCCACAAAGATGTCATACATAAAACTGACATGCCTGTGGGGACACCTGTGCCATCTTGTTACCTCTGTAACCGAGTGGAAGTAGACAAACAAGCCCAGGCACATACAAGAAAGAAGAGCAGCTGGTTGCTTCTACCAAAGTGGTATTGCTTTACAAGGATACCATTCAGGGTAGCATCCAAAGTATTATAAGTGCAGACACTCACTTGGCACGTTCACTCAATAGGAAGTTGCATTTTACATATTAATATCATTGAGTTTCACTTATCTCATGGAAGTGTAAGATTCATATTTTCTGCAAGGACAGGAATTAAGCTGTCAGAAAATAACTGTCAATTCCCTGGAATCAATGTACTCAGTTTAAGAATTTGTGACACTGGACAGAAGTTGCCAGTACTAAAGTAAACTTCAGGTGTTGCCCATAGCTGCACCAATTCTCTGTGCTGAGAAGGTTGTCTGCTTTTTTCAGCTGTGTCAGTTGATTTGATGAAAGATACTGCTTCTTCTCAGAGCTTACCTTGCTGTTTCTGTAGATATCACAGCTCAGCAAATCTTATTGGGTGTTTTGTCCTGACCCTTCCACACAGGTTAAAGTGTCTTGGATTGAGATCTAGATTCCTGAATACTTTTCTTGTAGAAAATGTAGTACATTTACTTTTCCACATTGTGCCTGGCCAGGACAGGATTAGCATGGCATTAATCGATTGCAGGCGGATCAAGGAAGTGGATTAGAGTTGGTTTACAACCAAGAAAGTTGATGATCCTGAAGGTAAACTCCCCCACCTGGGGACATTAGATGAAGAAAGCAAGATTTAATGAACTGCTTTGAGAAAAGGGTAAAGCCAGTCTATGTCCTGGTTCCCCAGTATATTCCATTTATCCCTTGGGATAACTATATTTTAATACAATGCCAGCTTTCTTTCTAATATGATCCTTGAAATTTCTTTAAGGCCACCTAAAACGTCACGACTTTTTCCTTCATCAATCAAAACATATTTTTTTTAACTGCAGGATGTTTGTTCAGTAGAGCTCGCTGTTTTTCTTTCATTGATTTTCTTTTTAACACACGGTTGCTGAAAACTGAATTTTGAGTTTAGTCAGCTTTGTTCAAGATGCATTGCTGTTCCATGTAGAATTTGTGGTATGTTTTTTGCAGTCCAGTGTAAGGGACGTATAGCATGATGGATGATGTTTGGAATTAGAAGCTGAATGAATGAAGGCATTACCAAAGCTGCTGTCTTGTTCTGAAAAGAGAAATCTCTTTCTTTGTTACTTCTTGATAAGGAATTTACAGCACAGTGTTGGAAAAAAATCCCTCTGGAAAAAAAAAAAAAGAAAAAAGAAAAGAAAAAAGATACTTTAGATTTAGCAGTAATAGCAGTAATGTGCACTTTGTGGGGTTTGTCTTTTGTATAAAAACCTTGTGAATGTAGAAGCGTTTTAAAAGGGGGAGGAGGGGACTGTTCCTATTTTGACTTTATGGTCATTTATTAATCTTTCTATCTAAAACTGGCACTTCTTCCCGTGGAAAATATTGCTCTGACCTATATTAGTTTTGCCCACCCAATGTTAGTAGCAATCACTGGTTATTGCTACTTTTTTATTCCTGCCTAAGGAAGTCCATACAGCCCTCTGATGCCTGACACATTAATTTGCTGCCTTAGCAAATTGCATATACTGGCTCAAATGCACAGTGCTAAATTTTCAGCAAGTCAAGAATGTGCTGTTAAAATCAGGTAATCTTGTGAAACTCAGCAATTTGGGGATTTTCTCATATACTCATATGGGGAAAAAAAATGTTCAGCTTCTCCTACGTCAGGGTCCAGGGAAGTATGCTCTGTAGACAAAAGGACTCTGTGTTGTGGCAAAAAATTATTTTAGGTGCTACGGCATACAAGACTTTGGTGGGAATACTGCGTCACTAATTCATCCTCTCTGTCTAATTTGGCTGCTGAGTTCTTCCTCGGGATAATTTAGAGCAGGGACCGCAGCTGATTGCCGGGGTGTTCCCCTTAGCAGTGTTGGAGAAGCACATACCTCCGTGACTACAGTGTCATGCATTTGAGAACTGTTGCCTGTATTTGTACTGTTGGAAAATAAGCCGTAACTGCCTAAACACCATGCCAGTCCGGGTGGGCTTTGAGAAACGAGGAACTGGGGCACAGCCTGCTTCTCGTATCTGCTGTGGAGAGTGAGTACAACAAATTGCAAAATAGATCTGCATTGCCTCCATAGTGTTAGCAACTGGTATGCTTTGGAGAAGATATAAGCGATGTTCTTTAACCACTGATTTTTGACCTGTATTCCTAGATCACTAAGAAAGCAAGCATGGTGTCAGCAGGGCCAATGTCACAGTATCAGGTCTGTGCATTCAAAGACATGTCAGACTGTCCAGGACTGAAACCCACCAACCAGAAGTGATACAACTCTCTGACTGCGGGATGGTGACACATGGGAATCTATAGACACCGTTTATACTCTCTGTGTTCCCTCTCAGTTCTGTGGGTGTATTTGGCCATGAAAAGCAATGTAATCTTTGAGAATAGAAGATATTAATGTAGCAGTAGCTTTCAACACCTCATCAATTTGGATGCTTAGTGCAGTTCTCTGCCCAGTGGCTAAATTAGCATGGCATGAAACTAGCATGAAAACTACAAATCCCTGCTGCAAAACAATCAAGCAAATGATCTCTTCCACAAGCAAATTCTTGTTGTAACTTGTACAGGCTAAATTCTCAGCTAGTGTGAACCTGCATAGCCCCCTGTTCTAGATGTGGCTTTACACCAGCTGAGAATCTGGCCTCAATAGCTTTATGCTTCCTGCCCTAATAGTACTGTGTGGTAAAGAAGTCCTAACAGCATAGGCAAAACATCAGGCCATAATGTCTCAGAGGTCTTAGAGTGGAAAACAGCTTTCCAAGAAGTTCAAAGGCTGGAGAAATCAAAGCACGCTGATCCAGCACCATAATCTCAAAAACACAGTGACAAATAGGACAGGCAACTAATAGCTTCATTCTGAATAGCTGAGCGCAGGCAGATTTGGCCACTGTACCTGCAGAGTAAGTTGTCTGCCAACATGATTATCTTGCTGATAACAGAAATCTCCCAGGGAACAAGTTGCGCCTGAACCACCACTCAAATCATGACAGGTTCCCCCACACTCACATCCCCTCGCATCCACACTCTTCTCCCACTGTCTTTACTGGTGCTAGTTGCCTGTAAGGGGCAGAAATACATGAACTCTCCATCTCATGTGAGGGAGTGTTGAGAGGAGCTAGGAGCTTCCCAGGGGATGGCACTACTGGCCTGCTAGAGCAGCTGTTCTCACTGTCACTGATTTCAGGAGGGTCCACTGCAGCTCTCCAAGAAGCATTTCTAACCCTTGTGGCTGCAGAGAAAACCTTAAAACCTGAATTCCTGACAGCTCAAAAAGCAAAAGATGAATGAAAGGAACCCCAGTAAAGCTGCTTCGGCTTTACTTCCTTGCTTTCCTTCCAGCTGTGACTGAACCCCAGGGCTGCTGGTCTCTGAACAAGAGGCAGCTGCTGGGGCCAGCAAGCTGAGCTGGGGTGATCTGAGCCTCTCCTTCCTCTCCTCTTCCCTCTGTGTGCCCCATACCTGGATGCTGAGAAGCCTTTCAGCACCACCCACAGCTGCAGCCTGTTGAAGCAGAAGATGAGAGGAAGTTAGTGCAGAGCTGTGCACACTGTTGTGATGGGGACCGCACAAATATGACTGTGGGCTCTTGGATGGATGTCATCAGACATGAGAATGTGCTGCTTCCCAGAGGTGCTTTATCCCCTGGATAAGTAACCCCAATGCCCACTTCAGAAAAGGCTTTCAGATGTAACCCCAAAAAGGAAAAAGGAAGTTTTGAAAGGTGGGATCTGAGGAGAGGAAGTGACTCATGGGCTCAAAGAGAGATGGGCAGGGAGCGACAGCCGGCTGAGGCAGCAGAAGCGATCCCCAACTGTGCTGAGTCGTGGGAATGGGGGTGAGGAAGAAGCCTAAGGCAGGGGAAGCAGAGCTTCAAGAACAACGACAGTCCTACGCTTGCCTCCTGGGCTTAGGACTTTTAATGCATCCCAGTATAGCAGGCTCCCAGGCTTACAAGCACGCCTGGCTGTGCTACACATGTGGTTTGGAGGTGACTTCAGCTTCCCTCCCAGCCAGCAGAGCCCAGTAGGCCCAATTGGGTGCTGGCTGCCACACCAATGTAGTACCCCTGGCATGGCAGGCCTGCCTTCCCCAGATGTATGGGTCCACCATTGCTCTAGCCCGTGGCTGCAGCCCTTCCCTTGCCTGCCACAGTGCTCCAGCCTTCCTAGGATGGTCTGACAGGGACAAAGAGTGATAGCAGCTTCGGTGAAGAATGAGAGATTTTTGCCCTCATTTTACATTTGCAAAAAGCTCTCTTTTGTCACTTTAAAGCAGTAAGAGCAGACTTGGGTTGGGTTTCATGGGGTTTCATGAAAGATGTGACATCAGAGTCATGTTTGGGACTTTCGCACTGGCCCCTTGCAGAGCTTCTTTGCCAGGGTGGACTTTTCTCTCCCAACGGGATGGCCATTTTTACCTGACTGAAGCATGAGCTCTCTTCCTACACCCTCTTCTGCACCTTCTAATCTGTGTAACCTCTGGTAGAACAAGTTTTCTCTCCTAATGAGGAAGCTCTAAAGATCAGGACTTTGTGAAAACTAAATGAGGAATTTCCTGGCTTTCAAACAATTTCCCCTGCAAATTATGATGTTCTAATAATATCTTTTTTTTTAATTAACTGATGTCTACTTGATCCCTCATGTGTAGAGTACTCAAATAATAATCTGGCTGCAATTCTGTACTGTGGCTTCTAGAGAGGAAGTGAGGCCAGATAACAAGATGTTACCTTTTGTTCCTTTTATTTATTACGTAAGTATCTTTAATGGGTTGTCCTATGGACCAAGTAAGGTAGATCAGATGAAAGTGCTCATTTTGAACATTGAATGAGATCCTTTTTTGTTGAGCTCAGTAGTGTTACAGGACTCATTCACCACTGTAGTCGAGATGTGCACTGCAGGAATATTCCCAATCCAAGTTTTACTGGCTTTTGCTTTGTGGTATTGACTAGTCTATTTGTAATGTGTGTGTAAACAAAATTGCATATTAGTTAAGCATTTCGGGCATTGTTTAAAGCATCTTCTTCCCAGAGGTTCACAGAGCTAGAACTGGGAAGGAACTATTTCCTCCATTGCTGAGGTCATAGCAGTGGAATTAAAACAAATGGTAAGTTTGCTATAAAAGCTGAAAACAAGGCTCTACAATTCCATCTGCAAAAGCTTTAGGTAATTATGTTTTGCGTGTGCCTCCAGAACCGAAGTGTCACAAAGACACACAGCTTCCTGCAGAGGGCTTTATACAGTTATTAGTAGAAGCTTGGTTTGAAAAATGTTGCAATTAAAATCTGTGATTATTCATCAAGAGAAAGATATATACAGGATCATGGAATCACAGAATGATTTAGGTTGGAAGGGCCTTAAAAATCATATGATTCTACCCCCACCTGTCATGGGCAGGGATGCCTATCACTAGACCAAGTTGCTCAAAGATATCTTCTGTGCCCAGGAAAAGTGTGTCATAGAGCCTTTCCTGAGAGTTACTAAAGGTTAATATTCAGTTCTTGGCTACAGCGAATGGAGCTCACCTAATCTTCATTAATTTTACTTGGTTGCTTAAAGAAACAGTGCTTTCATGTGTCAGGTCCTGCTTTCGGATCTTACCTTTTATTCAACTTTTGAATCTTAGGCTTTTTTGCACTTCAGGTTTTTACTTTTTCCCAAATCTATAAAACCAGGACATGCATCCTGAAGATATATGGCAGGGGCTTGGAACTAGATAATCTTAAAGTCCTTTCCAACCCTAACTATTGTATGATTCTATGATATTGACCTGGCAAGGGCAAACAAATTATATGCCACATGCTGTATTGTCATGCCAAACTTCTCAGGCTTTTCTTAGGATCTACCTTTGGTTTAGTGAGATCCTATTGAGCTTCTGGAAGAACCTTCATGTCAAGTAATTATAGCAAGGAATCATGACTTGCTGTTTTTAGCCTTCTCTGGTAAAACTGCTGAATCACCTGGTGTAGTAAGTCCATTGGATCATCTGCACAGTTCCTTACTTATTTTGTATTCTAATCAAGATAACAGATCAATCAGCGATGAGCTCGTATTTTGAAGTACTTCTCCATGATAATCACTGCAATCACTAACATTTAAGGTGTAGACATTGATACGATCACCTAGTGCTTCATGACACCATGGTCCTCACTCTTTTATCCAAAGAATTAG